ATATATGTTTATTAAATAAAGTCTAATGTTGCAACTAATCAGGGATCCCTTTAACAAAATATTATTGTTCTTATTTATGCATTGAAGGTGTATCCCCTACATTACTATGGAAACCTTTGACTCTAAAGAAATCCAATAATCCTCAATGTGGAGAAAGTCAGAGATAAAAATTCCCTAAAGACTGAACTTTCACCAAAAACTTTTGTGCTTGAAAGCGAGTGAGATAAACTTAATATTTGTGTTCTGACACAATCCCTTGCTGATTAGATCAAAAGGGTCAAAGATGGAGCTTTGCAAGCCAAAAAAAGGGCATTTCCTGTTGTCATGAGGCAGGACTTCGCTGATGTCACATGGCCACACATGGTATGGTCAGGCTCAGGCATGCAACAGGGCCGACTTATCCCAGGTTTGGTGTATTTTAGTCTTTCTATGTGAAAGTTACAGCTTTCTGCTGGACATAGCGAATTTTGTCCCCCACAACATGGGACAAAAAACCCCCAGAAAAAAGCTGGTTCCAATTTGGGTGCAGCAGCTGAGAATGCCTGGTGACCCCAGTGTTTGTATTTGGACTTTAGAAAATGTACTAAAACTGTATTAGTTGATCTAAAACAGACTGGAAGCCAATAGAGCGAGAATGAAACAGGAGTGATGTGCTTATTTAAGCACGTTAAAAGCGATAGTACGATAGTTCGTCATTTTCTATCTGGCAACCCTGCAGAGAAAGGACGGTGTCACTCCCACCAGGAAGCTTTTTTTCTTCGTACCTGAGTGGCAGCACACCAGCGGACCTAGCACAAAAATATACAAAACCCAACTCATTATTTGCTTTTATTGGCGACAGATATGAACCAGGACGGCAAAGCTTACTGTGTTCTGTGCAAAGGCGACGAGGAGACTAAAATAACCGGACCTCTGTCCACTAAAGAGGACGTAACAGCTCACCAGAACTGCTTGGTAAGTGACAGAAAAGTCAACTTTGTCACGGGGAGCAGATGGGTTTAAAACATTTTGACGCTAAACTTGGCTTAAATCTGTCTACAGGAACCGCAGTTTTGTTAAAAATACGAGAAATCAAGAGCAGGAGCCCGCGGTTGTTGTAAAAGATAAACAGGGAAATGAGCACGAGAGGATAGATTACTACGATGGCGTATTATTAGGGCCACTCTGAAGACCACGGTTCAGAGCATAAACATTATATAAATACAAGTAACAAGTTTCCGTATGTCTGTAGTCATCTTTCTCTTTATTATAAAAATAATATTGAAATAATTTGAAACTGACACAAAGACATTATTTGAACTATAATTCCAAAACATCTCAAGTGTGCCTCCTCTGTACAAATTTAGATTGTTTTCACACTGAAAAACGTGACTTATGGGTCAAAATAGCTAAAGTTCAGATTTTTTAAACCTTATTTAAAGTAATTTTGTCTTTTGAAAAACTGCCAATAGGTATATTTTTACATAAATTTATACAAAAAACAACCTTCAGCTACTTGAAAGAAATAAAAATTTAACTTAAACTTTCATAAAAACCTAAAATAATCTTATCAGGACATTTTGTCTTGTTTTAAGTCAAAATATCTTACCACATTGGCAAAGTTTTTTTTTTCTTGACAAGTCAATATGGCTCAAATTAAGATCAAATATTATTTTTTGAGCAATCTTTACGTATCAGGATGGGTTAAAATCGAGGGTTGTTTCTTTTCTATCTGAGTCAATGGATCAACATCGTTCACACTATCACCCATCACCCCTGTTTAGCATTACCTGATAGTGGCTGCATGTAGCTACATAAAATGTGGCCTGCTGGGTTGCAAATTACCCCAGCACTGCCATTAGGCAGGCTCCGGTTAAGGAGTTGTTTGAAAATGCGGGTAGTTCTAGTGTTAATACGTGTTATCTTTTAGGCGCTAAACTTATTTCATGGCCTCTCAATAGGGCGATGGGTAGAGTGATGGACCAGAGAGCAGGAGACCAGGGTTTGAGTCTGACACAGACACAAAAATTTTATTACTATATGTTTTGGTTATTTACATTGTCATTAATATATTAACCCACTAGGGGCACTAGAAGACACAGTAGGGACTCTGAAGCCATTGTATGGGACTGATAACACCTAATAACATCAGAATCCCCTGCAGGGTTCGACAAATCCTATTGCCCGACTGCCCGGGGCAGGTAAAACCCATTGTCAGGCATGTGTCCCAATGCCTGCCCGACTGGGCAGGTAAACAATTTCTTTTATTTTTTTATAGGGACATTTATTCAAAATATTCTGAAAATAAATGAAGAAATATGGCATTTTAAAACACGTAAAGAGAGAATAAATCTTCAAAATGTCCCCCTCCTGCTGTAGAAAAGTTACATCTTTTCCGTCATATTGCAGGATCACAAGTTCCTCCCTCCTTCCTGCTGCACGTCGCGCAGAGAGAAGGTTTAACAACCGTAGATTTTTTCACACCCGTGTTTTCGGAAGAAAAAAAGGTTTTTTTATATATATTATTACCCACAGAGATGAAAAAAATATGTGGACGTTCGTTCAGTCATAAATCCATCTTGCTAATGTTGGCTTCTGCTCTGACGAAGGTGATGATGAAGATGAGAGCGCAGCAGCAGCGGTCAGAAGCTTATTGTATGGCAGGCCGATCTATCATTTATTTGGCTTCACCACACTTAGAGCGGGTAAAATAAGTATTGAACACGTCACCATTTTTCTCAGTAAATATATTACTAGAGGTGCTAATGACATGAAATTTTCACCAGATGTTGGT